GTCAGGAGAGGTCTGCCACGCCATGTGGATCACATGTGAACCACCTCGGGATCACCTGGTTGGGGTGGGGCCGGCGTGGTCAAACTCATACTGAGGTGGCTTTAGCTTCTCAGTGCTGTGCTTTAACCCTCTGTGCCACCAGGGAGGGCCCAGGACCACAAATATTTTTACAGCTTCAAACACAGGATGGAATTAGAATTCAACTCACATTCACATGTCACAGCAGTCTATTTAAACTGCGAATACAGGTACTTAGAAGTGACAAAATTCTAGACAGAAGTAACGTACAGGGTTAAGAATTGTGAAATAACTCAAAAGGAGGAGCCTCCGAGGGAGTAAGTCTCAGCACTACCACCACAGCCCTCCTGAGGCAAAGGGGCCAGAGTCTGATCCCTGTGAGAGAGCTAACCCACAGGACTCAGCCTCTCCTGTTTTGTTGGCTGCTTTCCCTTAATGGTGCATTTTAGTAGATCTGCCTATTCTACTCCCTAGTCTGGTGAATCCTCTCACCTCCACACCTCTGGCCTATACCCAAGTTCTTCTATTCGAAAATAAATTAAAATCTTACAATAAAATAATAATTTTAAATAAATAACTGAAAAGGAATAAAAGGAAGGTGAGATAGATGAGTAGTCTGTTGCTTCAAAAGTTCTGCTTATTGACCAGCAGAGGGCAGTCGATCTCGAAATTCAGTATATTCTGTTTACTGAGCCCAAAGTCTAGAGTCAGCTCAGGGCTTTTTAATACAGTATATATTCTGTACTCTTGTCACACTACATCAGGCTTCCAGGGGCACTTATATGGAGCTTTTCTTCCACGATTTAGAAGATACTCTGGATCTTTATTTCACTTCCTGCCCCCTACATCCAGTCCTTGTTCTCTTTCTGAAGCTTAAAAGATGTGAGTCAAAAAAAAAAAAAAAGACCCTTAAAAGCTGCCGTGTTAACGTGGGGGGTAAGAATAATCACATCACATTTGCCGTGTAATCAGGGAACAGACTGAAAAAAGTTAATATTAGTTTCTACAGACAGTATTAATAAGCTTAATTGGTTCATCAATAGAAGTAAGCTCCTCCATTATTTGACTTGAGGAGCCTATGGAAAACTTCCTATATCCTGGGATAGGACTTTCATCATTTCAAATACCTGAAATTACCCATTAGTGTACTCAAAAATTTTTACTGAGTCAGACAAGGTAAGTGTGGCAGGACAAATTACCTCTTTGAATTAGCTAGGGTTTAAGAAAATAGAATCTAGGGCCTTCCTGTTGGAACAAGTGGTTAAAGTGCAACACTATGAAGCTTTCAGCAGCCATCGCAGAACAGGTTCAGTCCCTAGTCAGGGAGCTAATCTACAAGGCCAGCAGCTCTCTCCTCCTATGCCCACTCTCTTCTCCCCTCAGCAGTATATTTTGTTCAATCTGCCTGCTCTATTCTTCACTTTGTCCCTGTGAATCCTCTCTGCACCTTTGGCCTATGCCCCAGTTACTGTATGCATAAATAAATAAATCTTAAAAGAAATAAAATGTAGACAGCACTATTTTAACTAGTTTTAGGTAGGGGATAGAAGGAAAGATCTGGAACTACAGTTATACTTTTTCTTATTTATAAACCTTTAATGCTTCCTAATTGATGTAATGAATTGGTTTATTATCAGGACCAGCATTTGTTGAGAGCATACTAAATTTATTCGCTTAATTCTCAAGCCAATCCTACAAAATAATTACTGTTAGTATCCCCAGTTTACAGATTCGAAAACTGAGGCACAGAGAAGGAACTTTTATGAGATTGCTTATAGAGGAGACAACCAGTGTTCAACTCTGGTTGTGTCCTTATGTATATTTTAGGCTGCCTGGTGTGCAGTTCTTTGCCCATAATAGGTGCCTGGTAACCCAGATGACTTTTGAATTAACATGTTGACTAACTTGAAGCTCAGTTGCTTTGGATGCCTTGGAAATTGAGACCCATATAAAGTCACTGACAACTTTAGCAGTACACATGAAGCCTCTGAGCTCATTAAGATGTGTTTACCTGTTATTTAGCAAAAACATAAAGAAATAGGGAAAAGGCAGTAAAAACACTTTTAAAGTTTTTTTTACTTATAGCACCTGCTCTGTTGAGAGAATAGAATTTTGAACTGGTTCTACTAGTTACTTGGTTTCATTCTTAAAATGGTGTTATTTTTCTGAAGTTGATAACTGGCTATGTTCTGTATTTTCTTATTAAAGTAATGAAGGCTAACTTAATCGACCAGGTTCGTGTTAGGGTATGTTACCATTTAGTGTGATTTATACTTCCAAGAACATCTATTCAAGAACTTTCTTTCATCTTCATTGAACTTCCTTTCATTTTTACCCTCTTTTCATCCTACTCAACAATCCAGATAAAGGAATATCCTCATGTAGAGAAAAGTCTCTTATTTCAGAAATAGGTAGTTCATTATCTTGAATTTTTTTCTTTCTTACAAATTCTGGTCTCTTTACTGTTTCAGTGTTCTTTGACATTGACAGCATAATGCAGTCAGAAACCAGTCCAAGGTAACTTTGAATAAAGACTTTGTGGGGTGGAATTACATTAAAACTAGTGGTAAAAAGGTTGGGTTGAATACTTTAAGTTGTAGTTATCTGTGTACACTCCATCCTCTTTGCTGTGGGTAACTAAGAGGTAGCTGATAATTCTTGCTGGCCATTGTGAAACTGACAAGTCAGATTGTGGATGTTCTCAAATCATAAACAGAAATAAAAATTCTGTATATTTGTAGGTTCAAGAATGGTTGACTTTCCAAGTCAGTCACTATTTGGGAAAAGAGAATGCTGTCACTTTCATAAAGTTGTGAATTATAAGAGACATTCTGTTGGGTTACTGCATGTCCCTTGGGGTTTGTTTCATTTATAACATTGCCTCAGGCCTTCTGCCACATCCTGTTGGAATGACCTTGTTTTCAACCCTGTGCTGGCAGCTGTAGTTTGACTCTTTCCCTGGATCCTCCAGGCTTGTCACATGACAAACATGAACTGTGACCACTTGTTCTAACTTACCCAGATGACTAAACTTTAATTTTTTTCCTGCTTAACAGTTTTACCTTTCTTTCCTCGTTCTCCTTTTTATTGTTATTTCCTACTTCAACAATACTGCAATTTTTTTACTGAAGATTAAGAAAAGTACACATAACATTAGTATATCAAATTTTCACAGCACAACACATCATTGTAGACAGTGCTGAGATCAAGAAAGAGAATATCACTTGAACCTCAGAAAACTTTTCCTATCCACACCTTGTCACTACTTTTCCACAACAGCAACTATTATCTATAGCTTTGCCTGTTTCTGAACTTTGTAGAAAATGGCATCCATTTGTAGTATTCATTGTACCTACTTTCTTTCATTTAACATTTTTGTGATATTCATCCATATTACTCAGTTTGTATCTGTATAGTATTCCATCTCTGACTATCCTGCCATTTATTCTACATTTTGAGGTTACATTTTTGTCCCTCCACATGTGCACATGTTCCACTTAACCTTCCATCAAACCACCATGTCATTACATCACCTGCCTACCTCTTCCCTAACCAATAAATTATTTCACTAAGTCTAAAATTTATTCCTGCTATATTCTTCCCTTGTATATTTCTGGTTATTTATATTCTACGGGTAAGTGAAACCATCCAAATTCCTGTCTTTTACTTTCTAACATTTTTCACCTCGTGGTCCATCTAAATTTTTTTTTTAAGATTTTGTTTATTTATGCATACAAGAACTGGACCAGAGGTGCTGGGGGTGAGAGGATTCACCAGAGACAGAGTGGGGGACAGAGCACATTACTGAAATACACTGCTGAGGAGAGCAGCAGATAAGACAGGAGAGTTTTGCTGCTCCATGACGGTCACTTCCTTGGCTAGGGCTTGAACTCTCAGTGGCTACTGAGAGCTTTACAGTGCTGCAGTTTAACCCCTTGCAACACCAGGGAAGCCCTATGGTCCATCCATTTTGTCCCCAAAGCCACTCTTTCATCTTTTTTACTGACTGTGTAGTATTCTGTTTAGTGTATATTCCTAATCTCTTTATCCATTTGTCTATTGAAGTGCACTTAGGTTGGTTCTATGACTTCACAGTTGTGGACATTTGCTGTGTACATAGGTGTGTATAAATAATTTCATATTAAAAGTTTTCGTATTTTTAAGATAAATACCAAATGCAGGTATTTCTGTATCATACAGAATTTGTTTTTATTTTAAGAACTCTTTATACTGTTATCCAGAGGCTGCACAAACTTGCATTCCCATCAACAGTAGATAAGAGTTCCTTTTTCACCACAACCTTGCCAGTACTTGTTTCCATTCCTTTTATGTGTGTGTGTGTGTGTGTGTGTGTGTGAATGTGTGTGTGTGTGTATGTGTAAATATATGTGTGTGTATATGTGTATAAAACTTTAAATCAGTGTTTTTGCATCTTTTGGGTAGATAACCAAGGAGTGGGATTGCAGGGTCATATGGAAGCTCCATGTTTAGCAGTTTGAGGAACCTCCAAACAGTTTTCCATAGTGGTTGTACTAGTTTGCATTCCCACTAGCAGTGCAGGAGAGTTCCTTTTTCTCTACATCCTCCACCAACATTTGTTGTTGCTAGTTGTTTTAAGATGTACCATTCTCACTGGGATGAGGTGGTATCTCATTGTGGTTTTAATTTGCATCTTCCTTATTATAAGTGAAGTTGAACAATTTTTCATATGTTTGTTGGCCATCTGCATTTCCTCTTTGGAGAAGTGTCTTTTTAGCTCTTCTGCCCATTTTTGATGGGATTGTTGATTTTTGTTCAGTTCCATTAATTCTATGTATATCTTTGTGATCAATCCATTGTTGCTAGTTTTGTGTGAGAAAATTTTTTCCCAATCTGAGGGATGTCTGCTTCTTTTTGGTAATGTTTCTTTTGCTGTACAGAAACTCTTTAACTTAATGAGAAGAATGTTATTTTAAACTTACTTCTCTTTTTATTCTGTTTAGGTCTTAAAAGATAACCTTGCTCCTGGAATAGCCAGCCTACCAGCCACCAAGCAGTTGCTTCGTCCAAGAATCACAAGAATCTGCCTCAGGGACTTAATATTTTGCATGGAACAGGAAAGGGAGATGAAGTATTCACGAGCTCTATACCTTGCTCTTCTGAAGTGACCACTGTACTCTCCATACAGATCTTTGCTATTTACTGCCAAAGGTGACGTGTGAAGAACAATCTTGCACTGTCCTGAAATTTCAGTTTCTGGAAAATAACACCTATTATCAAAGGCCACTGTTTACAGTTATAAACTTTTTCTGATTCTTATCTATACACAGGTATACATCTATGTATACCTATACATAACAAGTGTTTATTAATAACTAGAATTTAGCTTTGACTTATGGAAATTGGTTATGAGATATAGTTTACACAGAAATAGGCATCAGCCTCCCTGTGCATTTAAGTATACCAACTTAAAGCCCTAGGTGTTAACTGTCTGCTTCGTTTGCCAAACTGTTAATAGGTGAGGTATCTTTCACCAGTACAGCCTGCATTGAGGTGCAAGGGAAAAACAGTATCATCCCTTCCCCAAGAATATGTATTTCATACTTTATGAGCCTGTCTCAACATAAGGTTTTCTGGGCTAGAATCAAAAGTTGCTTAGCTAATTATAACAAGCTTCAACATAGGACCAATGGTGACCATGGTTGACTGGGTCCTAAAGCTGTCAAAAATGAGACAAATAGAGATAATCTGTGCCTGAGGTTACAGTTCTCTGGTTCATATCACTATTTGTGTCTTCTGAAACCAAGTAACGGGGCATGGGAGACCTTAAAATCGAAGCTGTTGATATACCTCATTGAAAAATGGAAAGGGGGGTAAAGTATTGGAAGCAATGATAGGGTATTTGTTCAGTTTGATAAGAGGAAAATGAAAATGGAGTCATAAAACAAGAAGTGTGCCACACATCCCCAGGGGCAGTGGTGGAATTCAAACTCCAAAGCAACTGCTGTATGCTGTGTTGACAAGAAAAAGTAACAGCCCACCCAAGAAGGTAAATGTATCAGACACTTTCATATTACAGTATTTCAAAAGGAAGAAGTTTTTGTTCATTTTGTGTATTGTTTTAAATATAAAGAAGCATAGTTTTGTAAAAAAAAAATTTTAGTTACTCTTAAGTTTTAAGCATCTTGTTGCATTTAAAATACCCTAACTAATGATTAGACATTTTTAACAATAGGGAACCTATTTTGGACTCACACTCAAAAGGTATTGTCAGCATCTCACTCTTGGAGATCTTGGTTCTAAATATACTATGAGAAGCATGTTATATTTATTTGTATATATAGACACACATGCACATCTGAGAAGGAAGTTTTTGCAAAGCAAAACTTTTTTTTTTTATTCCACCTGTATGGCATGTATCTGATAAAAATAATAGCTGTAGTTAGAAAAAACACAGAAAAAATAAGTGAATACTCCAAGGTTTTAAAAATGGGAAAGCTATGCTTCTTAAAATTCAAGGGTAAAAATACATTTCAAGTATGTTACTCTTCATCCTGCTCTTCCCACTGGGACTGTTAACGGCCATAGTCTATACTAGAGTAAGTTTTAAATTGGCCACTTTTTTTGTTTCAGCAAGTTATATAAAATGCTATAAATTATGTGTATGTTTGAAAAGTACTTTAAGAGCTGTACACTTAAAGTTGTTTTTGTATATTTAAATGCTTAGCTTTATTTTTTTGTGCAGCATACTCCCATGTTTGTGTATGATCTTATTGAACAGATGTTTAAAGTTATTTCAAATACTTCATTAAAATAATTATTTTATTATAAGAATACTTTGCTCAGTTATTGACTTTGAAAACCAATTAATTACTTTATACCAAATTACCTTTACTAGTAGTAAAGCACTACACCTGGGGTAGTGCTCAGGGGCTCTCTCGTGCATCTGATTGTGTCTAAGCCTGGGTATTTGGGTTCTAAAATATCACCTCAGATCAAGTTACAGTATCACTTTCTTGGTAATAGTTGTAAATTTACATACCATTTGACCCACAGAGAAGCTAAACATAATCATAACAAAAGCTATCATCAGCCTATCAAGGTTTTCTTAGTCTAAGATACTTTTTTTCAAAAAAAAAATTATTATTTTTTAAGATTTATTTATTCATACAGAACTGGGGTATAGGCCAGAGATGTGGAGGGTGAGAGGATTCACCAGAGACAGAGCGGGGTACAGAACAGAACAGGCAGATCTACAAAGTACACTGTTGAGGGGTGCAGCAGGCGGGTCAGGAGAGGTCTGCCGTGCCATGTGGGTCTCCTCCAGGGCAGGCGGGAATCGAACTCATGTGGAAGTGGCTTAAGCTTCTTTGTGTTGTGCTTTAGCCCGCTGCGCCACCAAAAAAATTTTTTTAAGATTTTAAAAAAATTTTAAGATTTTATTTATTTTATATGCATACAGAACTAAGAACATGCCAGAGGTGCAGGGGTGGTGAGAGTATTCACCAGAGACAGTAGGGATCAGAACAGGCAGGTTGATTGAAATATACTGCTGAGGGGAGCAGCAACAGGTGAGTGAGACAGGAGAGGTCTGCTGCCCCAACTGGGTTAGCTTCTAGAACTGGGTTAGCAAGTGGTTCAGCTGTTTATCAGATTTTTTTTTTAAAGATGTATTTATTTATTCGTACAGAACTGGGGTACAGGCCAGAGATGCGGAGGATGAGAGGATTCACCAGAGACAGAGCGGGGAGCAGAACAGGCAGATCGACGAAGTACACTGCTGAGGGGAGCAGCAGGCGGGTCAGGAGAGGTCTGCCTCACCATGTGGTTGCCTCCGGGGGAGGTGGGGATCGAACTCATGCTGAAGTGGCTTTAGTTTCTTAGTGCAGTGCTTTAACCCGCTGCGCCACCAGGGAGGGCCCAGATTTTTTTTTTTTTTAAAAAAAAAAAAATATATATATATATATATAAGATTTATTTATACATATAAGAAATGGGGTACAGGCCAGAGGTGCAGGGGTGAGAGTATTCACCAGAGTGAGGAGCAGAAAAGACAGTCTGACTGAAAAATACTACTGAGAGGAGCAACAGACAAGACAGGAAAAGTCGGCTGTGCCATGTGGGTCACCTCCCTGACCGGGGATCAGGGCTGCAGTGCTTTGGATAGCATCATCATTGTGCTGCTCTTTAACCCCTTGCACCACCAGGGAGGCCCTCAAAGTTTAGTTTTAAATTACATTATGAATTATAGCTTGACACACACACCCCCAAATACTGTAGCCAAGGTATTCTGCTCAGTTTGCAAAATTTTGGCCTTGGGGTAGATTTGATCTATAAATGCATTTTTTGTGTGTGACTCACAGTGTTGCTTTAATTCACAAAAATCTATTTTTCCGTTTCTTTTGAAAAACTAGAAGTTCTGCCTTTATAAGACAGTCCATTGGAGCCAACTAGTGGCTGTCTACTTTCGACACGGTGGAGGAGCATAAGTTTACTGTCTCTTGTCTGGTTATTTTAAGCATTAAAGTTCATGGGCCTCTGCCTTCAATATTTACCTTGGGTGATGAACAATGAAAGGGGAAAATACCAGAAATTCTCCATTTACTTTTTAAAATAACTTGTTTCAGGCATATTTTACAAAATTCACCCATTTCTTCCATTTTTTAAAAAGATTTATTTATTTATGCTTACAGAACTGGGGTACAGGCCAGAGGTGTGGTGGGTGTGAGGATTTACCAGAGACAGAAAAGGGAGCAGAACAGGAAAATGTGCTGAAATACACTGCTGAGGGAAGCAATGGGCAGGTCAGGAGAGGTCTGCCACACCATGTGGGTCAGCTCCCTGGATGGGTATCGAACTTGTAGTGCCTGGTTCCTGAGAACTTCATTGTGTCACCAGGGATAGCCCTCTACCATTTATTTTTAATGTGACTGCTTGACCTTTTAAATTTTCTTAGGGCCCTCCCTGGTGGCCCAACGGGTTAAAGCGCAGCACTGCAAGCTGGTTGAAGCCACTTCAGTGAGGGTTTGATCCCGGCGGTGCCCAAGGTGATCCACATGGCCCAGCAGACCTTTCCTGTCTCCCACTGCTCCCCTCAGCAGTGTACTTTGTCGAACTGCCTGTTCTGCTCCCCACTTTGTGTCTGGTGAATCCTCTCACTGCCCTTGCACCTAAGACTAAGATTAAATAAGTAAATCTTTGATTTATGCATACAGATTTATGCTTTATGCATACAGAAATGGGGTACAGGCCAGGGGTGCAGGGGCAGTGAGAGGATTCATCAGAGATAGATTGGGGGGCAGAACAGGCAGCTTGAGGAAGTATACTGGTGAGGGGAGCAGCAAGACAGGAGAGGTCTGCTGTGCCATGTAGATCACCCCTGGAGCAGGGATGGGACTCTCAAACCTAAGCGGCTGAGTTCAGCTTCACAGTGCTGCACTTTTAATCTGCTACACTACTAAGGAGGACCCCAACGGCTCTTTTAAATTTAAAAAAAATAATAAAAACTATCTCCTAAACAGCTTTAAAATTCTTCCCCTTTTATAAAGAAGCAGATTTTCTATGGTGATGGCACACAGGTGAATTGGTGGTGGGAAGTCCACGGGGATTACAACTGAAATGGAAAAAGGCACAAAGTAATGTAAAAATAAGCTATATTATTTTTTTAAAAGAAGCAGATACTAACATTCTTCTAAAGCTTACACTTTTTTTATTATTCATACAGAACTGGGGTACAGGCCAGAGATGAGAGGGTGAGAGGATTCACCAGGGACAGAGTGGGGAGCAGAACAGGCAGATCTACGAAGTACACTGCTGAGGGGAGCATCGGGTGGGTCAGGAGAGGTCTGCCGCGCCATGTGGATCACCTCTGGGCCAGGCGGGGATCGCACTCATGCGGAAGTGGCTTAAGCTTCTTTGTGCTGTGCTTTAACCCGCTGCGCCACCAGGGAGGGCCCAAAAGCTTATATTTTTTAATACCTGCATTTAAAGTTAATTATTTCACCAGAACATTTTTTATGTTGAACTTCATCTAGGTGAATAAACCAGCTAAATGTTTACAAAACTTTAGCCTCAACAAGATTCAGGGATTCTGCAGGAAATAAAGTACAATGTGACGTGTTTATACATGACCAGCAAGAATTTTCTTTGTTGTTTCTAGCATTATCTTTTCAGACACATTCCTATGCCTGGATAAATTGACATGGCTAACTTTCTTAATGTGAGAGCATGATTTATAATATATTTTTCTCTGACTTTTTAACTACTCATTAGATTTTCATTTACATTTTGTTGTATTACATTAGTACATTAGCTTTTTCCATTGAAGTTTCAGCATTCGGAGAGTAGTCCTGTAGAATATTTTTGTCACACTTTTGGTAAACATTGAGAGTCTGTGCTGTGCATATGAGAAACTAAAAATATTCATTACCATATACTTGAACACTAACTTGGTTAGATGAACAAATATATAATTTTTTTTGACATTTTATTATGTATATAAGAACTGGGGCATAGGCCAGAGATGTGGATGGTGACAGTATTCACCACAGACACAGTGGGGGGCAGAACAGGCAGACCCACTGAATATACTGCTGAGGGGAGCAGGCAAGACAGGAGAGGTCTGCTGCACCATGTAGGTAGCTCCCTGACTGGGGCTGGAGTTTGTGTTTAAGCAGCTGAGGCTAGCTTTGTAGTGCTTCCCTTCAACCAGTTGGGCCACCCGGGAGCGCCCTGTAATCTGTCTTCTTAAAATTTTAAAATTTGGGTCTGTTATTCTCCAAAATTTCATAGCAACAGTAGCATATTTGTTGAGCACCGACTGAGTAAGTATTCTCCATGCCCCATTATGTGAGGGTGGCCGAGACTTGTTTTGACTCCGAGATGCTCAATGAGGCCATGTCTCTGACCCTCCCTGCAGTTAAGTGTGGCCATGTTCCTGAGCCTGACAAATGACATGTCAATAGAAATGATTGTAACATTTCAGAGCTGCTTGTGGTTACCAGCTGTGCATGACTTTGCTTGTTCTTTCCCTTTCCAGAGACCTCAGAAGTCTCATGGTAAAGATGGCAGAGCCGTAAGACAGAAAGAGCTCTGGGTCCCTGAATCATAGCTTAGAAAACCTAGCCTGTGATTCAAGGACACTCCTTTGGAACCATACATAAATGAGAAATAAATATTTAATGTGAAAACCAGTAATCTGCCTGCAACAACAGTGAGTATAGCTGAATTAATCATTGCAGGTACATACTATATTTCTAATTTTCTCATAAGATCACCGGTATGACAAGAGATTGACAGAAGTCAGAGAGAAAATAGTAAAGTTGGCATTTAAAACTAGGTCTGTTCAATCCCAGAATCTGGATTCTTGATCCCTACAATAAGATGGGTTTTTGTTTTATGTTTGTTTTTTAGTGTTTTGGAACTCCTCTCTGTGAGAGCACATTAACTGTCTAAAATTCACCATCTGCTTTCTTCCCAATATTCTCTTCTCTCCACTGAAAGGCCCATTTATTTCATTTCTAACAGTGTAGATTCTAGATTCTCAGTATTTTAATTGCTCTCTTGGTAAAAACCACATTAAAATATGGTGGCGGACCCTTCCTGATGGTGCAAGGGGTTAAAGCACAGCACTGTGAAGAACTCCACAGCCACTGCTGCACAAGTTCAGTCTCCAGCCAGGAGGTGACCCACACACGCAGCAGACCTTTCCTGTCTCTCCCACTGCTCTCCTCAGCAGTATATTTCAGTCAATCTGCCTGTTCTGCTCC